TTTTKYSKTTTTTTTTTTTTTTACTTTTTGCCGCTTTTATAACATTTTATTGTATTTTCATTGAAACTCTTTTAATATTTGTGACTTTATTACAGTCAATCGCTTGAGCGGTTTTAATTAACAACGTTTTCATTTAATTAGTTCCGCTGAAGCATTAGGTGCGATTTATGAGCGCGCTTACCTTGATTCCTTATTTAAATGGTAGTTGATCGCTCTGGCCATCAGCATGGTAACCATTGGCCGCAGCGCTTTACCCTGGCCGTCGAAGTAGTACGAGGCGATCTTATCGAGTTCCGTCTGACTCGTGCCCTGCCGCAGGAGCTGCACAAAGAAACAACAATAATAGGAGGTGAATGAAAATGTATAATAATATAAACAAAAATATGCCTCGCTAACTGGCTAAATTTTATTGACAATTAAAAAAAAAAAACTAATTTTGCATTTAGTTTGGCAGCAACTAAATTGTTCGTAAAAACTGCAGTTCCTACACTCAAGCAACTAAATAATTCTCAAATTTTAATTTCAACTATTTATGTGTGCTAAATGGCAAATTCAAGGTGTTGCGCACACATACACTTATATACATATGTATATGTATAAACAAATAAACCCAAAATGAGTTACTCATCCGTTTGAAGTCTAAATAACTTCTTACCATTTTGTAGCGCAACAAAATTCCCACAACGTCACATCGCAGTCGTCAAATCAGCAGTTAAAAAAAATCAGTCATCTAAATGCCAAAAGCGTCCTATGTTGTCGCTTTTATGCGCTAACTATTGCCCCGTTTGGCGGGTGTAAATGCGGATTTTTTTTCACATTTACCTTTCAATTTGCATGCTCGCTCTTAGCTCACACACAACAAACATTAAATTTTGTTTAAAAATAGTTTATGCATTAAATTATAGGATTTGACATTAGCATATTTTTGTTGTGCTCTGTGTTCATGACATTCGGGTGTTTTCCTAGGTATGAGTAACTATTTATCAAGTCATGCCTCACCAACACCAACAAGTCATGTTGAAAGTATACAAGTTTTTCGTTAAACTTAAACTCAAACTTAAACTAAAACTCAAACTTAAACTTAAACTTATAGAGCTCAAAAAATGTTAATCATTCAAAAACATGCGTTCTGAACGCATTAACCACCTGTTCAAGTGCCAAAAAACGTTGACCTCTTAATTTGTTTTTTCGAACTGGAATAAAAGAAATCATTCGGTCAGGACTATATGATGGATACCTTAGCAAAGCGATGTGTTGAGTGCCCAATTTCTTAAAAAACACCCACTTCCACCCACTCAGAATTTTCAATCCTGCGATGTTCCAGTGGCATGGTTGCGACCGGTCAAGTTTTTCCAAAAAAGAACAGACAGACACCCATTTGCTTGAAAGTGCTTCGTGCGCGAACAAATTTAGTTGGATTTGACGCATCTTGAAACACCCGTAAATTCKAATGCTGTTWTATTTTTTGGRGTCAAACGCATAAATACACCATTCATCCTCTGTCACGACGTGTTTTGAAGCACCGCTATTGAAATTTTTTAACATTTCGCTAGAAMAACTAACACAAGCCTTTTTTTGGGRTGATGGACAAATTGTGTGGAAACCAACGTGAACAAAATATTTTTACTGTCGAATGATGWTGCAATATTGAATGTATACTGATCCCAATAATACCTAATACCTCTCGATAGATCACATTTCGGCCTCGCAATATCAGTTTGGGCGTAGCATAAAAAGTTTCCGGAAAAACAACTAATTTTATACGAATTGAAATTCATTTTGAAGATATCTACGACC